CACGCATGTCCCAAATATTTCATGGAACATACTTCCATTAAATAGTTTGTGTTTATTGTCTGAAATTCAAGTTTAACTGGTGTCCTGGATTTTATGTGGCAACCCTGTGCTAGGGAGACCCATAGAATGACATCCTTTTTCCTCAGCTGGCATGAGCAAAGTGTTTGCTGTTGCGTTGTCAGGAGGGTATAAAATTTAAATCAATGCAAAGCGTGTCTTTTTAAGGGTCTTTTAAATTAGTTTAGCTCAATGTATCCAGGAGTTCTAGGAGTTTGTAAATCATGAAGAGGTTATTCAGAGGACCACTCAAAATATACCATTTGCAAAGTATCTGTGTACTGCTCGCTTTTTCCTGCCACGTAATGGCTCTCCAACTGTTAAATCCAGCATCCTGACGCACCTAGAGCTGTGGTGGTTTGTGGAGGTCAGAGGTGTTCACCCGAAAATCTGCTTCTGTGGTATGTGGATTACTTTGAGCTAAGGCCAATTTTAGTTTCAGGCTCAAGAGAAACTTCTGCCTCTCCCTTGACTACCAGCATGAACTTGAATTAGGGGTCTTGCCCACAATCTGAGATTATTAGAAAGAGCCTCTCTGACTTGTCCCCATGGCAGGACGAACTCCTGTTCACTAAACATCGGCTTGTTCTTACCATTCTACAGAGACCCTTTGAAGCCCCCACGGCTCCTTACTTCATCCTTAGCTCAGAATGTCTTAGGTGCTCATGTTCTCTTTCTGTCTCTGAACCTCTTTTACGTGTGGAGTTTCCTACTTTCTCATGGATGCAGGGTTCCTAGTATGTATGTTTTAACTTTAGTTATTTTCTCTTCCTCAGGTCTACTTTATAAGACCAGCCAAAAGAACCTTGAAAGTAGAGAAAAGTATCTCCTCCCCCACAGGTTTACTCCTTTGGTTACTAAGCAGATATTTACTGACTGAGTAGATGTTCTGGGTGGGATTGGATAGGAGCTTTGATCTTGATCTTAAGGCAATTATAACTGCAAAATAAGACACACACAGGACTTGAATACAAGTCTGGTGGAACAAGTCCTCAGGAAGACAGTTTCAGAGTAGCACAGAGGACTGCTAGGTTTACGCTTGAGTTGAGCCATTCAGGAAAGTGGGATGGATGAGAAATAGATGGAAAAGTCCCTGAACCTTCCTGCGGTTTTCATATTGATGCTAATAAAATGAAATGCATTTAATAGGTTAGAGGAGGGGCCAAACTAATCCAGTTTCACAATGACTAAACTTATTCTTGAGTAATATTTCTTATACTAGGGATCGAAATCATGTCTTTTTATTCTTCGGGGACATGGCATTATGTTGAAGGTCTTCTCAGTTATTGTTGAGGGAATGACATATGTCCTAGAATATGCCCAAATCTTTCAGGAATTAATTCCTGAATAAGTTAGTTGCATTGCACCAAGTACCAAACAGCATACACGAAAGACTAACATGGAACGAGAGTTAAAATACTATGTCACGCCCTCCACATTTTTCATGTGAATTTCTGTGCTTCAGGCTCTTGTTCCATGAAGCAGGGATGAAAATACACACTTTGTGTGATTGTTGGGGATACTATATAAAAACTGCCTGCCACTAAAGAATATTGAAAGATGATCCCCAAACACTGAAATAAAAAACATGAATTACTGTTTGGGATTACGCTTGACAGTGTTGCATTTGTAGTTTTAACATTAGTGTTGGCCCTCAGAGGTGGGTAATATTGTGTGTGCTTTTCGAGAAAATGATGTTGCCCATCATTAAGAATTCATCTGGGGATGTTGTACCAGGTGCTAAATATATATACCAAGAGTTCATTCCAAATTAACTAATACCCATCTTGAAGTTATTTCTGACCGTGGCTTCACGATTCTTGCTATGTAAGGTGTAGTTCAGGGACCAACACCATCAGCCTCACCTGTGAGCTTGTCAGAAACACTGAATACTGGGTCCCACCCCAGACTTCCAGAATCAGAACCTGCATTTTAACAAGATCCCCAGGTGATCCCTATGCATGTGACAATTTGGGAAGTATTGCTGTAGATGTCAGCATCGATTATTAAAAAGTTTATATTGCTCCAAGCTTATAAAGTAATGTTGTCTTTTAACTATAGTTTCTGTCATGTATTTAAGACTGATATTATAGGGAGAAAGAAGTCCTTCAGGTGTTTAGAATACTAAGTTGCAGATTGCTTTGCCACTTCCTCTAGTGGTGTTCAAAGGACTGCAGATTGAGCAGTGTAATAGTTTACTCATAATCATCAAAGCTTATTTTCTTCATCAACAGTAGTTATACCCAGATTCTTAAGATACTGAATAAGAAAGGTAGTGAGGGTACTTCCTGCGTTTATTAAAGGTGTGGGGCTTGGAGGATGTTGTATGAGCGTGTTCATTGAGTTGTTAGAGTCATGATCGATCTACTAAGGTAGATGCTGGTCTCTGCATTGGTGTCACCTGAGGACATTATTAAAAACTCAGATTCTGCCCTGGCTGGTGTGCCTCAGTGGATTTGAATGCTGGCCTGTGAAGCAAAGGGTCACTGGTTCGATTCCCAGTCAAGATACGGCCTGGATTGCAGGCCAGGTCCCCAGTAGCGGTGCTTGAGAGGCAACCACAAGATGTTTCTTTCTCTCTGTTTCTTCCTCCCGTTTCCTCTATCTAAAAATAAAAAGAAATAAAATCTTTTAAAAAAAGAAATAACTAAAAATTCAGATTCTCTGGTTATGTGCAGCAGATTCTGATTTCAGTAGGGCAACAGAGAGGCCTTGGAATGGGTATTGTTAAGAAGCGACTTAAGTTGTAGAGTTGCACACAGTGGTTTTGTAGAACATCACTGTAGTCAGTTCTTTTCTATCAGTTAGAAGACCTTTCATTTTTCACTCTTCATCTTTCATGTCTTGGGTCTCCCTATCGTCAGTAATTTCATTTATTTTTGTATAAAGTTAAGCACTGAGGCAGCAGAGGGTAGGAAAGGAACGCTAATCTGGGAGGCGGAAGCCCCATGTTCATGACTGGATGCACACTTGAGAGCAAGCCGCAGCTTCTCCACTTACACTCCAGTGGACTGGGAGAGCATACGCTCTGTGTGAGTGCTTTGGACTCTTGGGAAGAAAAGGCTTGTGAGTTGAGCTTAATTTAATATCCTTTCCATTAAAAACGTGTTTTCCTTTTCAACATAGAACTTGGTTCTTATCCGAAAACTTATCTCTGCAGTTTTTGTTTCCTTCTTGCTTTATACCCACTCCCCACCATTCTCTGCATGCTGACAGTTCTCCAGGGCATTGTGGGAGGTTTGGCCAGGTCACTTAGACCAAGAGCTCCTCTGTGGGGCAGAGCAGGGCAGAGCAGCTCTTGGTGAGGCCTGTCAGGAGTCAGGGAGATGCACGTTGGGACAGGAACTTGAAACTAGAAAACCCAGAAGCCCCAGACACAATGTCTCAGCGTGTGATACTTTGTGATGAATTTATTACCTGGGCAGGAGCCCTGGGAACTTGTATATGTAGGAGGAAGTGCCTGTCCAATAATGGGTAAGCGTTGGCTAATTTTATTTTTATTATTTGGCAAAGGGATGGGATGGCTCAGGATCTTTCTAGATTGCACCATAAGTAGATATTGAAGGCACATGATCTTCATTACTTAAATATATTACTAGATATATTGGCTCTAAATCACCCTAATGAACATGCTCAAGAGACATGCCTACCTCCCCAGACTTGAATAAACAGGGGATGCCCCTTCTATCTGTATATTTAGAATCTTAAGATTCTGGGTGTGACTACCGTTAATCAGAAGAGAGTAAAGTTTGAAAATTAAGCAGTAAACTGTTAAACTGCTCAATCTTTCAGGCCAAGGACTATGTGACTTTTATACACCAAAGCATTCCCAATACCTGGCAAAGTCCTATTGTGATGAGTAACTACAATTGCATATGTGAATACGTATTTTGCCGTGGCTTTAAGTAATAGCTCTTAAAACTCATTTTGTTACTTTACGTTGGTAACTGCTGCCATGTTGTATCAGGGGAGTGGGCAGCATCCCACACGTTTTTTAGAGAGCCATTCAGGCTTCCAGTTAAAGAAAGGATGTCTCGTTCCAAGTCATCACATACCTTTCAGGAATGCCTTTTAGGGTACAGTGCTTTTGTTCTCTTTCGTGTATCAGACACTTGTCCTGTTTTAACAGTTACTGCTCTGTCTTTAAGAGCAGAAGATGCTGTAAAACGTAACAATAAGATCTTGTTCTCTGCCTTTTAAAAGAACACACACACCCATAAACACAGATTCTAACACACACACCTTTAATGAGTTTATCTGGACAGCACTCGTCTTCTTGACACCCGACAGACACCCAGTTTGTCAGATGTTCATACATTTCCACAGATTGAATTTGTTTAGGAAAATCTTGAGCTTCTAATATATCTTATTTAGTAGATTATATATGCCACTGACTAAATGGATTTAGTTTTTATGATAGAAAAGAATGTTGTAATCAAGTAGGTAGGACTTACTTTAATATATAAAAGCTGTAAAAAGAGCACTTCAGCATCAGAAATATGGATATATTTGTGGGGGGAAAGTCTCCATTTAGTTTAAATAAACAGAGAGTGAAAAGTCTGTTGATGAAAACAGGTGTAACAGTGTATGAATACCTGCTTAAATGATGGAGAATCAGTGACTACCCAGTCACAGTGAAATGAACAGAGCGGGCCATCTAATTGTAAAAATAAACCCACCAGTTTGCAGTGTGAGTCGGCCGGACTGTGTGCACAGATGTGTGTGTGTACCTGCTATTGCTCATGTGACTGAAGAGAGTGTCACACTCTTTGTACAGAACTGAAAATGCCGGTGAACTACCTTCCAATTTCTGGAGGTGGAGAATATTGTATTCTGTTCTCCCTATTACATTACATGAGATACAATTCAGGTGCTTAAAGAGAATTCTTCTTTAAGGCCACTCTGAGTGCTCGATTTGCCATGACCACTTTCTCTTTTTCCAGGAGAGCACACAGCTGCTACAAATGCCGTCAGTGTGGCTTCACAGCTGCCGACACTCAGTCACTCCTGGGCCACTTCAACACTGTTCACTGCCAGGAGCAGGACGTCACTACAGCCAATGGCGAAGAGGACGCTCAGGCCACGTCCACCATCAAGGAGGAGCCCAAAATCGACGTCAAGGTGTACAGTCTGCTCAACCCAGACTCTAAAATGGGAGAGCCGGTGTCCGAGAGTGTGGTGAAGAGGGAGAAGCTAGATGATAAGGACGGGCTAAAAGAAAAAGTTTGGGCTGAGAGTCCAAGCGATGACCTTCGCAACATGACTTGGAAAGGGCCAGACATCCTGAGGGGCAGTCCATCCTTCACTCCGGCGAGCCTGGGGCTCCTGACGCACGTGGCGGGCAGCCAGGAGCAGACGAAGGCGCTGAGGGACAGCCCCAACGTGGAGGCTGCCCACCTGGCGCGCCCCATCTATAGCTTGGCTGTGGAGACCAAGGCGTTCCTGCAGGGGGTGCCAGGCGGCGGAGAGAAGTCCGGGGCCATCACCTCGCAGTACCCTGCGTCTGCAGAGAGCAAGTCCAAGGATGAGTCCCAGTCTCTGTTACGGGTAGGAAGGTTTAATTTTTTAATGATTTCTATACCTTGAAGGGAGAACGGTGGGGGGCAGGGGAAGACACAGGTTCTCTAGATTGAGTATCTTGTCTCACCAACGGTAAGAAAATGATCTGTGTCAGTTGGGTGGTTTATACTTATCAAGATGGAGTGGCAGAAAGTAGCTCACGTGAGTGGGTATGTGTCGTGCGCATGTACTCAATACAGTGGTGGGCAAGTCACCTGTTTGTCACTGCTCTGAGCTCAGGTTGAACGTTGCTTAATCATTCCTGGGGATTATGGGAAACAATGAGGCCACATTTGGAGAAGAGAGGTTCATAATCACAGAAGGATGCACATCTGTTCTATTAAATAATAACTAGATGACTTTTACATTCTAAGATGGCGTGAATCCTGTATGGTGAACAGAAAACTTAGCAGGGACTTAAATCACTAAGAATGCAAAGCCCTTGGTGAAATGTCAATATGGAAATATGGCGTTTTTTAAAACTCCCAGTTTAAGTAATTATGTACCACTGACAATGCTCATTGTTGTTAGTTGCCAAGAAGAGGGGAAATGAGTGCATCTAAGTGTGAATGCTGTGAGAACATTCAGGGAAGAGAACTGTGCATTTTATGATTATTGGGCTCTGTAAGGTAGAAAGACGTGGTCCCACCTGGAAAAACAAAAACAGGCCTCTGTGTAAGATCCCTGGTTGCTCTCTTCCTGCAGACTCAGCCTTTGTCAAAAATTTTTAGATTTTGAAAATTTATGAGCTCCCAATAAGCCAAGCTTGCTTTTTGCCTAAAGGCATCACCTCTTCAACATTTCACTCTGAGAAAAAGTTTGGAGCTTCTGGGTGATTTTGAAGCATTGTTCCTGCACCTCAAGTCAGATCAGAAACCAGCTAACCATAACAAAAGAGCCGGTTAGGAAATACAGTTCTAGTAGCCTGGTTCTTTGACCTGCAGCTTGGAGACCACTAGTTCTCTCTGGATGTGTGCTGGGGAGAAAAATCGTTCTTTCCAATGTCTGCTTGGCTGCTCTGCTCTCACTTCCTGCTGATTCTCTGCAGCCTATCTGTGCTTCTCAGGTATTCTCTAGTGCAGCTGGCAAACACCCCTCGGAGGTGCACAGTTAATTGTAAAAGCTGTTACCTTTCCTGCCTGCAGTCATGCCCTGGAGCTGCCAGAAGGGCTTGAACACAGAAGAGATGATGCCCCCTGTACGCTGAGGAACTCTGAGAAACAGTTTGGCAGGGAAAGAGCCGGTTTATTGTAAGGAACTTTGAAAAGAAGAAAAATAGTTCCTGAGGCCTTCAAGAGGGGCTTCAGTTCAGGGGCTTCTTGTAGATAAATGTATAGGGAGCAGCATTTTTATAATGGCAAATGCAGGCTCTTTTCTAGTGCACAGGGCTTTTCTGGTTATAAGGCAGGAAGAAGCCTTAGGTTTTTAAATTTCGTACTGCATTTCCAGAGCACGGCGCTTCACATCTCCATCCCTGGGGCTCCTCAGTCTTGCTTTTCCCACTAAAAATTGTTTTCACCCGTGACATCTTCATTGGATACCAAATTGTTTGACTCTTTCAGACTGTTTTCAGACTGTTTCTGGAATATTTCCTTTACACTGGAGAATTTGTAACTATGAATAATGGATTCATCAATGAAGTGTAAGACCTGAGCATGATAGTTACATTTTTTAAGCAAGCAGAAGATGAGAATCCTTTCTTTAAAAATTGTTTTTCTCAATTCCTCCACTTCCTGACTTCCCTGACTTCAAGTTTCTGTTGCATCATTGTAACTGGTTTTTTTTTTTTTTTTTCAGTTCCTCCACATTAGCTGCTGAGGTAGGAACTCCTCGGTGGGAGGCCTGGCTGGGTCTGCAGTAAATGAGTAGGCAGATTCCTAACTGGAAGATGTGGGATCCTGAAAGGCTCCCATCTACTAAATTAGGAGAGCTGGCAAAATCCAATGCACATAAATGATAGATATATATTTTAAAGAGTCTTGGATCATTTTTCTGTGACTGAGTTTTTCAATTTTACAAGTTCTTTGTCTTTGAATAGTGGTTTTGGACATCACCAATTATTGGCTATTTGGAAAAGGAAGTAGAGTTCATTTAATTTATTGCGAAATATTTGGTGTATTAACCAAACTGAAAAACTTAATTTTACCATAACTTAGTTTATATCAACTCTTCAGAACACCGAAGAGAATTAAAAAGCAGAGCCCATTCTGAACTTGACAAGAGTTTTACTCTGGTGGTAGAAATTGGTACTGCTAAGTTATCACAGCAAGTACATGCTTCTCAGTTCATTCCTCTGCCTTTTGTCAGGGAAAACCCAGCAGAACATCACCCCCATATTTACTAAAGGGAAAAATGGTAGCCTTTAATTTGTAATGGGAGAAGTCAGGGGTGGTGTCCTATGAAAATTTATAAATACACACTTGAAATACACGTTTTGAATGAATGTACAGTGATCTGTGTAAATATAGGCCTATAGAACGTGATGCTCGTATTTGGGTTTAAATGGTAGAATGGAGCTTGAAATTACCTTGTAGTATGGCATGGTATTGAGAAATAGCCATTTAAGAAATGGAAAATAGGTTTTAAAAGTGATTTTTTTAGCCTAAAAGTGCATGCAATATAGCATTTTTAGAACAAACATATTTGTAAATTCATTTGTACCTCCGGTTTCTAATACTAAAAGTAAAAATTTGACTGTCATCTTGGACTATGCTAGAGTGTGTATCATGAATTATTATTAAAAAATCTGTGCAGCAGAAAATATTAATGTGAAGTATTTCAGCACGTGCTGGTAAGCAATGGACACATTTTTAAATAGAAGGCTGAATGCAGTTAGGGTCATGCCACAAAGCACATAATTATGTTGCTTTTAGAACACCGATGTTTCTGATACATGGTTTTTACTGGTTTTAGTTATGCAATTTTGCTGTTCTCAGAGTGAGGAAGGAAATACAAGAATCAGACACAAAAACTAAGGTTTCTAAATATTCTCAGTTTTTTTCATTTCTTTTTTTTTTTGTATAGGTCAGTGTTTGGCTTAATTTTTGTGTACAATGGCAGATTGTTTATGTACATTTTAATCTAGTGAATGTCATATTTTTTGTAAACTGTGGAATTGGTCCCACTACAAAAGTTTGGAATTGTGTGGGTGACTTGGGTGGAGCATTGGGCTGTGAGTGGTGGGTTAGCATCAGCTTCATCTGGTGAATTGCTTTATGAAAACTAGATTTTTGTTGTGTATCCATCACACAATGTCTCTGCAAAATTGTTTTGTTTCTTTTGAGAGTAGGAAGAACTGTTAAAGCCTTTAGAACTCTTTGCTGGAGATAATCCATGTTTAAAGGAAAACTTTAATTGCTACTCTTAAAACATCTAGAGTAGATCTTAGAAAACAGGAAAGCTCCTGGAAGTGTTTTCAAAATGCAGGGTTTTCATTTAAACTTAAAATTTGTATCTGTGAAGAGGTTAACATATTTAATACTGCCTGTGTTAAAAGCAGAAGTTAATTGGCTTTATACATGCAAATAGATGTTTCTTTCCCATTTTAAGCCAACAATGCAGTAAACAGAATTCAGTACACTTGCGTGTCCATTTCTGATCATTTTCTTCTATTATGTATATTGACACAAAGGTATTTATTTACTTAGTGGATTGACTCTTATTTAGATACAACTGTATTCATCTTATCTCCTGGATAAGAAATTCTGAGCTTCGTTCTTTGCAATTGACTTTTATAACATAGACAACTTTGCCTTTTAACTGATAACCACACTAATAGAAACAAAACACATCATATTGCACAAAGATTTTGTTAGTATCAAATGCATTTTTATTTGTTAATGAAACACGAAAGTACCATTAAGATTAGTTGGTAAATATATAGTTTCTGTGCTTAACAGCAAATCACCATTCAGGTAAATGCATCACTCGCAGAACAGAATGTCATAGGTAATTCCCAGGGTCTCATTCTTCCCCAGGTACAAGCGCCAGCAGGTATCCGTCCACTCCCTTCGTGCATCTAGGGGAAAAATAAGTCTTTGGGAGGCTGATTTGAGTTCCCAGTGTAAGTGTATTCAGGGAAGCTTGTCCATTTTAAGATGCACATTTTACGCTACTTGGTTTTGGCAGAAATGTTCAGCCATGGGCTGTGGGCCCTGAGTTCCAAGTTCTGGGAGTCGAGTTCCAAAGCTGACTGTCAAAGGAAGGGCCTGCAAGAATGTCTGACCATCTCTCTCAGAGAGGATCATATGCCAGTGGTACTCACAGCCCTGCTGTGCCGCTTGCTTAATTAATGCTTGTCAGGCCATTTGAGATCGCCAGATGCAGGTTTCTAGATAAGGGCAAAGCAGTATGATTATTGTTCATTTGGTTAAGGTGATCCCAAGACAGCACAAAGTCGATATTATTTCCCCTTTTCTTCACCGGCGTTAAATTTATCGTTTAAAGATTGTTGATACCGGACAGTCTATTGTGATGCAAAAATGTTCTTTTAGGGACAGTCTGTTGGCAGCCAAACAGACGTTCAAACAAGCAGCAGTGTTGAATGCCTTCGCAACCGCTGATGGGGGACTGCAGGAACTTGTTTTAAACTAAAAACGGTCTCAAGTGAGAAGTCTGATACTGTTCTGCTTCATTTTTAGTGAAAATGAAAGCAGTCTTTAGTTATCGTATAGGTAGTATTGACTTATTACCATGGTTATGTGCAAACCATTTTCCTGACTCTGTTTGAATTTTTTACCCACATAAGCAATAGAGAACAGCCCGTACTCTGAAAAAGCAGAAGCATACCTCTGCCTATTCATTGCTCTTGAAACAGTAGCATTTAGGCCATGTTGATAAATTTTTGTTTTAGGTAGCCATTGATTGATATTTGATTTGCCTAAACATAGAGTGTTACAAACCATTAACTATATACCTAGAGTTTGACAATCCTTATACATCTTCTGTGCTACTGTATATTGAATAGATGCATTTCTGTTGTCACCTCT